CAATTTCCATGTCCCGGCAATGCGAGAGACAACGTACGGCGTTCGTGTCTCGTCAATTAAGAACAAGCACCTACTTTTGCTACTTCGTCAAGTGAAATATCCGGTGGTATCGGATGAATATTAATTAAAAATTCTATGTTGTTAGTCCGCACGTTGCTTTTAGATTTTATCATTCCGTTCAAATTAGAATAAATAAAAAAAGAATTTTAAATTAATCTATTATACATACAGAAAGTATTAATTAAATATAAAACCAATCTCAAGAATCGGAAAAATTCTTAGCAGAATTTCTGTTAATTTTTTCTAATTCGCATGTACTTTGTAAGACCATTATGTTAATAAAAGATTATTTTAAATTATTTTTGCTCATTTGCGGATTTTTAATGAATTTCTAAATTACAACTTCTAAATTAATATTTAATGAAAAAGTAGAGGACTATTCTATCCAGTTTAGTTTAACTGAAAAAGTATTACATTTATTATCAAACAGGTTGTATGTGTATGCGTGTATATGTGTACATATACATCGCGTGTGTATAACGTAATTCGTAGTGGCAGTATCAATAAAAAAATATGTAAATTGATGTCTTCGAATTTTATTAAAGCATATGTAAATACAAACAAAATCAAGCTACAAGAGCACTGGCCGTTGAACTTTCGTATTTCCAATTTGGTGGCAGAGAGCCTTTTGCCTTATAGTAACGCGCCAATCTGTGAATTCTTGACTCGACGAGAATTAAACGGAATTTGGAATCTTTATCTTTGCGATTTCGTTCCAAGTGTTTACGCACAGCTACGGCCTTTTTGATCAGGTAATAAAGATCCTCTGGAAGATCAGGAGCTAGACCCATACTCTTTACAATGCGCAGAATCTTATTTCCTGTACGGAATCGTACTTGTGCTACTCCATGTGAGTCACGAAGTATGACACCTATAAAAATACAAAATATATTATACACGGTTTTTTTGTCATTTTAATAACACACAAAAAAAAGTACCCTGTGCTGGGGTGGAGACCCAGCTAATCTTATATATTTTAAATCGCTGAATACGAATCTGACATCAAAATAGAACTATCCAGCATAAATTTTCAATCTAGAGCGAAACAATGACCCATTTTTTTCCATTTTTTTCGCTCTAGATTAAAAATTTATCCTGAATGGTAACCTATTTTGATGTCAGATTCATATTCAGCGACTTAAAGTACATAAGAATAGCTGGGTCTCCACCCAAGTATAGGGTATGTTTTTTTTGGGGCTTTGTGTCAATATCAAACTTGTTATTTTACAAAAGTATCAGTGATAACCTATTGTGAAATGACAAATAATCAAATTCACATCAAACATCACTTATTATGATCTTGCAAACATATTTGAGAGAATCAAATTAAAAACTCAAAAATCCCCCGTGTAGAGTTTGCCTTTAAATACATTGATTCCTTTAAATTAGCAGCTAGTAAAGCTTTTATTAACAGAAAAATAATGTATATCAAAATTACCAATTTGAGATGGTGTATGTCCTTTTTTCGCTAGCTTGTAGATAAGTTCTTTGCAATCTTCTGGTGTTAGTTTCAACCAAGTTGGTACACTTCGTCGGTAAGGAAGCGCCGACTGGGATATACCTTTTCTAAAAAATATAATATGCCATCATATAATCTTCATCATTTTAAACTATAAAAAAAATATATATATAATGAAATTTAAAAATATACATAATTAATTTATAAAAAATAAATCATATTTAAAAATTTTTTTAGTACATTACAAGAATATTTAGGAAGTAATTTTTCAGAAGTATCTGTATTATATGAAAATACTGAAACTATATATTGTATAAAAAAAACGAATAACGGTAATAAAAAGTTAAAAGCTAAATAATGATCAGAGAGGAGTTATTGACCAATATAATAATGTAAGAATTATAAAATATTAAATAAAATTTAATATAACCAATACATTAAAAATAAGCATTATAGCTTGTTTTTAATATATATTGGATATATTAAATCCAATATTTTATAATACTCTTTGTCTCTGCTTGGCTTTTTCTTATATTAGATATAAAAGATTAAATTCTTTATCATTAAACACGTTTCTACTATACTGTTAAAGATTAACAAATAAATTAACATTGCATGTCAGTAACTTGATTAAATACTCATGCTTGACAAGTGTTTAACTGGCATTGCAGTTACAGAAGAAATAACGCCTAATGCGAACGCGATTACACTATGCGTACACGTGATAGGTTATGTATTCGTAAAAGCAGCGTGCTTGGTTTACCAAGATACATGGCATACAAAAAAGCCGAATCATTAGATCGCTCAACAACTATAAATTATAAATTATAAAGTCGATAAATGATAGGATAATTGATCATTCGAATGAAAAGAACGGAGTCACAAACACATGGTCATTGGATGTGCACACTGACAGACATCTCGACGCCCATGGTATAAGATATACTCTTATATCGTGTCGACGCCGAGGATCTTAGTAAATCGCAAGTGTCGCAGCACAAATAATTAAAGAGATTACATCGATAATACGATAAATATTATAATGTTACCCATGTGAGTGCATACGACCCATCTTGTTAAGATTTTTCCAACAACGTTGTCCACGAAAGGAAAAATAAAAGAGGACGGCGAGAGAAGATGGCGCCCTTCTTCGGTTAATGAAAAGCCGGAAACACAATGGGCGCGTTCAAGTCGACAAAGCGGCTAGGTCTGCACGCCGAGCAATTAAACATGATTGGTTGGATCCACAGATAAGGACCAATCATGCTCATTCGCTCGGCAAGCCTCGCTTGCGAACTGGCTCAAATACTGCGTTCAGCGAACTTAACAGTTGAATTAGCGCTCGCTGCTATTGATGTATTCTTCCAGATCGAAAATGCTAATTGGATGATCTAAAAGAATACACAATGGGTGCGATCTACTTTATGCTGCAAATGCTTTAAAGCATTCTTTGATTGGTCAATTTGTCAATTTGTAAAATTTTTTTTTCTGATTGATTAACGAAGTATTTACAGCACTAAGTAGATCACATTCAATAGGTGTATTCGTATTTTATAGCCATAGGCTTTAGAGTTGCCGCACACAAAATTCCGCAACAGTGGCCTAGATTCCACCGAGGGTTTGAACCAGATCAGAATATAACAATCAACTACAGTCGAGTATTTCTTTATCATTCGACTGTAACAAGGGAATACTCGAGTATAGTTGATTGGTTCTTATATTCTGAGCAGATTTAAACTTTAGGTGGAAACTAGGCCACTGTTGCGGAATTTTGTGTGCAGCAGCCCTAAAACTTATGAGGCCAATAACCGTACGGCCGGAATCAGACTACGCATTGAAGAGTGAGATTGAAGATTGAAAGATTGAAGTTTGACCAATCAAAACAAAAAGAACCAGAATTTTTTTGTTTTTATTGACACTTCAATAAAATTTCAATTTTTAATCTTTAATCTCAATTTTCAATGCATTGTCTGATTTCAACCTATAACGTAAACTTATAACTAGCCGATGAGCTAATCAGGATATTGCTTTAAGTTAACGTAACGGAGATGGAAATAATAGTAAACTTATCATAGTCCCGTAATAAGGTGAATTTCAACCGATTAAAATTCGCCTTATGGATAAGTTTATTGTTATTTTCATTTCCGTTAGAATATGTAGATCTAAAGCAGTATCCTGATTGGCTCATCGGCTTAAGTTCACGTCTTAAAGTTACTGTTACAGAAATTTTGTCTGTGGCAGCCCTTAGACCGGAATCAGACTACACATTGAAGAATGAGATTAAAGACTGATTGAAAGACTGAAGTTTGATTAATCAGAACAAAAGGAGCCAAAACTTCTTTGTCTTTATTGATGAAATTTCAATCTTTATTTTCCGGCCTTAGCTGGATTTATATTGGTCTTAATCGTATGCCGTAAGGTTCCTAAAATACCAGAGTCTGGCCATTCCTCCATCCTCTCTTGTGATTGGCGTGCTCACACAATGGCAATACCAATCGAGAACGCACATTCATATCACTAATAATTGAGAGCAAACTCATATTTCGAACACGTACGCCATTTTTAGGGCACGACTAGACTCTGGTATCTAGCAACTATTCTATTATCAAATGAGAGGGGAATACTCGATACTGTGATTAGTTAATTCTTACAGATTACTTAGAGAAGCAATAAGGAGGAAGCTGCCATTAATAACGTACTTACCTTCTCTTCTTGTGTCGCTGAAAGAAAAGCGATATTAGTGATAAAGTGTATTAATATATACTTACCTCAATTAGAGACCATTGTACGTCGAATTAAAATAAATCTGTTGTGATAGTTTATACGATAATCGCTATGATTCGTCATTTGTCTCCTTTTCGCGCGAATTTTGCCTTCGCGACGCCATAGTAATTGGTCAATTTTTACAAATTACTGCATACCACTTTCTCCTTGTGAGACTCTCTACCTTTTAGGCTTTGACTGTATAACTTCACTTTAATTATTTTTTAAAGTATGCATAATTTATATATTATTATTTATAATTTATATATATATATATCATATATGTGTATATAGATACGTATAATGCAGTCTAGCATAGAAATTGAAAACAGATCATTGGTCTGTTCATTTTGTTCGCACTTTTTGCATTCAATATCTTTGCATTCTCTCTTTTCAATGCCCAAATATACATCTATCTCATTTTAAGTTCGAAAATTTTTAGGGATTTTAAGCAACGCGAACCAGCTGTTAGTTATTGTAATTTAAGTGAACAAATTTACTAAAATATTTATAATTTTATTGGTCGACATCTAGTAAATTTTGTTCACTTTTGTAATTTTCGTCTCTTTTCAAATCGCTCGTTCAAATTCAAATTGTACGACAGTGCGCTTACTTCCGATCGGTCGGGTACTACGCTCGACGTTTCTTGTACTTTCGCCTCGTCTCAAATGCAAGGCCGGAAGTGACGTCACAACGTTATATCCATACACCACCACGGCAAGCACGGCGTCCGCGATCCAATATGTCCGCAGTCTCACGATAGAACGCGTTACTTTTCGGTATATTGTCGCAGGAGAGAGTCAGAGGAGATAATTCTGACGCGAACGGCTCAAGGCCGTTCCGTCCGTACGAGAATCGTGGGATCAGTGCCGCATGCCCGCGATTCGTCGGCGTGCGACACGATCACGGAAGGAATCAGGAGCAACACCGAGAGTAAGAGAACGAGAGGGACGGAGTGAGGAAGAGAGAGAGAGAGAGAGAGAGAGAGAGTGAGTAAGAACGAAGCGGGACGGAAATCGAGAAGCGTCAACTCTGGTCAACTCGCATCGGTGCGATCCTAGACACGTTCTCGTGAGCTCGTTTCTACGGCATCGAGAACTACTGGGTGCGACCGCGACGCGGGATCAGCAACGGCTTTCGTGAGCCGTCGTCGACGACGCGGAGAGTGCGCGCGAAATCGTGGGATCGTCCACCGCGCCGCCGTCATCCACCAGCAGCTCATCAGGATAACCGAGCTGACAACGTTTCCCAGATGTCGATCATCATCGTGTGGGACGATTTGGTCACGATTTGAGATTCCGGAGCGGGCGCATCGCGCAGCATCGAGTAATCCTCATTTAGATTATTCTGTTTAGGGTATCGCATGAGAGTCGCTCGCAAACTATACGCGAAATAAATTTGTATATTGCTTCCGTTGTTACAATAAGAAACCGAACAATATTTACGATAAAATTGAGATGGAGACTGAACGATTTGTTTTACTTTGTTAAAAATGGGTAGTACAGTGGATATTTGACATGAATTCTTGGTTACAGATCTATGAGAAGAATACAGGGGGTATGAATTGTAGTGATAGTCAAGATGTCAAGCGACAGCGATAATACTTGTTTAATACGTCATCATAATCACAAACGCAAGAAAATTGTCATTAGGGACAGTGATAGCAGCGATGAATCTGTTATTGTACAAATTCGAAGAAAGAAGAAACTTGTACGTTTGGAAATGCTTTAATTATTACAGTATCTTTAAATATTGATTAAATTAAATGTTTAATTCTAACTGTATAGTATTTATGGAATCTATTAAATCTTATTTGCATAGCCTATTCAATTTTATTTATATGGTCTTCTTTCTAAGTAAACATATTATTTGTTAAAAATTTACATCAATTTGCATTTATGTTACTGTTTCAGAGAGTCGTTAGCGAAGGAGAAAGCAGCAGCGATAGTGATGTACCTAAGCCTGTGATTAGACGACAAAACCATGTAAGTATTATGACTGTTATATTTTTTTAAAGAAATGTTTAATTAAATTTATTGATGACATATTTATTGGTGACATATCTTCATTAATATCATTTTGTTGCAGAGAGTTATTAGTGACGAATCTAATAGTAGCGAGGAAAGCAGATCCACGCATATTACAGATAGTAGTACATCCGAATGGGAAAGTGATTGGACTAGTTCAGATGAATCAAGTGGTGATAACCATAAATATACTGCTAAGCGTAAAGTTTTATCTAAAAGTAAAAGTGAGAATGCCAATAAACCTGGTTCCTCTTCATTAACTAATGCCAACGCTAACTCTGATAGCAGTGATGATCAGTCGGAAAAATGTCCTATATGTCTGCTACCATTTAGAAAACAGCAAGTTGGTATCCCATCTGAATGCGATCATTGCTTCTGTTTAGAATGTTTGTTAGAATGGAGTAAAAACATCAACACTTGCCCAGTGGATCGTACATCCTTCACTACAATTGTTGTTAGAAGTCATTTTGACGGCGAGGTAATTTTTTTTACAAATTTGTTATTTGATACTGTATGATTTAAAAATTAACACAAATAACCAAGCTGTACAAAAAATAATCTACCGAAAAAAAAAATATAGAGAGAGAGAGAGAGAGAGAGAGTGTGTAAATGAATTAAAAAATTATATCGCAATTTTAATGTGCATTTTTTTTTACTTTGCTTAGATCATAAATCATTTACCAGTAGAAGCTGTGCCGCGTATTGAGAATCAACCAGCAGATGATCCAACTTTTTGTGAAATATGTCATCAAAGTGATAGAGAGGATCGAATGTTACTTTGTGACAATTGCGACCGCGGCTATCATATGGAATGTTTAACACCCCCAATAACTACAGTTCCCATTGAAGAATGGTATTGTCCTGGGTGTACCGAAAGCAGCTCGACTAGACGATCGGTAACAACTTATTCATACTTAAAAAATATGTAAAGACGAGTTATGTGTTGTAACAATATACTACTTATGGATTACACTTTAATTGACAATTTTTTTCATATAAAATATTTTTTTAAATAAATAAACATTAATTTCAGATTTGATGTAATTTTTTTTTTAATGTAATTCTTTTTATGTAAACTTATTTCCATAATATACTTGAGATTTTTAAATTAAAAATACATACAGTAGTTTCAAAAAATTGAAAACTTAAATTAAATTACAAGATATAAAAACAAGTTGATATAATTGCCTGATATAATTTATTTAAAAAAACTTTAATTTTTTTATATAACATTTTCACATATGGATTAATTGAGTTTATATATAAAATGTTCTTTGATGTATAAAAAGATTATCTTTTCGGCTTTTTTATAAAAACCAGGTGTAATGAACATAATATAAAATTAAAATAAGAATATAAAAACTAATTCCTTCTTTTATTTATCTTTGCAGTATTTGTCGAGTTTTGTGCCAACTCTTATAACAACGGGGAGAAATACTAGACGTTTCTTTGATGAATTAGGAACGAACTTAAATATATTCCGTAATATACTTCCTCATGTCAATGATCGTATGTATCTACCTACCAGACGCGTTTCCAGAGTCAATTCTAGGCGCAATCATAATCGAACAGATGAGCAATGTATTGATCCAAACCAGCCGTCAACTTCGTCCGGCCTTGATTCGATTGGTGACAATAGCCGAAGTCGCTCTCCAAACACAAGCCTAGAAGGTAACGCTTCTTCCACGCGTTTGAATACAAAGTCTAAGACCAAAATGTCGAAAAGGAAAAAGAAAAAAACCAAGAATTCGAAAAAGAAAACCGGCAGTAATTTATTTCGAGAAGTGCGAATTAAAGAACTCAACAATGACGGCGAAGAGGAAGAAATAGTGACGTATGTCAAAATTGCATCATCCACGTCAAGGAGGAAGTGTAAGAAAAGTACAAAAAAAACCGGCAAGGTATAACGCTAATTTCTCCTCAAATGTAGCATAATAGCTTAACACGTAACATTGCTCATCGCATTGCCAGATGCGTATATAACATTTTTTAAATCTTTTTCATGTTTCGCGATAATGTGAATGTATATTCTGTTTGCATTCTCTTTATTTTGATTAATAAGTAAAAATTTTTGTATAATTCTCGTATTTTATGCTGTGTTTATTAAAATATATGTATATGTATAACTTAATTCTTATAAAATTGAATTGTACGGTCTGGTAATGCCAGGGTGTCTCATTAAGTGTTCATCATCTTGGTCTTCCGATCCAGACTATCCGATCACTGCTGTATTCCCCAATCATATTTATGCCACCTTCGTAACACAATTAAATTGAATTAGACTTTTCGATTGTAACTCATTGTTCTTAATTTATATAAATAAAATGATTTTCTCACACTAGATGCACTTGGTTTTTTTTCTTAATTTTGCAAATGACTTTATTATATTCATATGCTAAATCTTAGAAACTTCCTTTATATATTTATATGCTAAATTTTAGAAACCGTTTAACTTTAAGATTAAAGTCATATGTGTAATTGATTTCTTAATGTGATTTTTCTATTTGTAATATATTTTTATATAATTTGTGAAGTATAAGATATATTAATATAAGATAATAAAATAATATATTTTTGTAACTAAATACATTAAAAATATTTAAATCATGTACAAGAAGATTATCCTGAGAGCATTGCCATCAACAGCGATATATCTATTTAGTAATCTCAAGAGTAATATAAGCTAAATACTAAAGAACAATGAATTTACAAATTAATTTAATAGACTTATTTTAATGAGACTTTTAATTATCTTGCTTTCAAAATAATTTTAACTTATTATACTAATTAAACTTGTATATATTTTCTAAAATATTACACCCTAGTCAATAAAATCTAATAATTGCTTACTTTACTAATTTACTTCAACTTATCTATCTTTTTATCTTAAAGATAAATTTGAAAATATTTTAAGAGCTTTTTTTTCACAACGCCTTTTCCTCATGCTATTTTACGTTTTATTTTCATCTAATTTTTGTTATTAAATATATACATTGTCTATCGTATTTTTTCTGATCTTATAAAAGCACATATGTAGTTATTATTTCTCCAGAGGAGAAAATACAAGCGACGTGCGCGCATTCGAGCGTCCATGCTGAGTACACGAACAGTAAAAAGAAGATTGGCCTCTACACTCGGTATGCAGAAATCGAAGATGCCGCAGCTTGTACCTGTCATGAAAAATAACATCTCTATACCTGAGAAAAGCATTCTCATAAATGCCAGACACAGCGCTGGTATAGCTCAAGTCAGTCTCTTTGGAAATAATCTGGGATTAGATTACAGTCCACCTGGGTGAGCGATTGATCCTATTTATTCACTCTTGTCTTTAATTGATCCTCCTCCCACCTACAAGTTTGTGCAATTCTTTTCTTAAACGCAGATAAAGATAGTATGTTTCATTTTATTAATGCTGGATTGGACACTTTTTATTTTAGGCAAAGTGCATGAGATATTGCTCTATGTGTATCTATTACTCTATAATGTTTAATCCTCCATTGTTCAGATAATTTTGATTTTAAAAAGTTTGAAATATAACAAAAATAAAAATATAAGAAAATAATATTTTAGTGAAATATTTTAATAAAAAAATAATTTTTTCCTTAGATCGGACTATGACGATGAAGATTCCATTGGAATTGGAAGTGGTCCTATGATAAACGTACGACAACGACGATCAGCGATGCCGTCGATCAGACGCCGCGCTATTTTAAAAACTATGGTTGATCCAGTTAACGAAGTAGATAATACTAGTATAACAGATCTACTGAGCAGTATAATGAGCAATCAGGAACTGTGGCATTCATCCAAGAAGAAGACGGATGTGATCCTGAAGGCTGACGGCACGTTGTTTGTGAAAAATCTTGAAAAGGAAAACAAACATAGTATCAATAACAATGAGAGTCCGAAGAAGGAGAAGCGGGATAAGGAAGAAGTCACGCAACATGAGGAGGCAATCCTGAAAAAGGTGGACACACCATTGGATTTGTCTAGTATTAACTCTAGTGATATTACGCAGGCGCCAATGTACAACAATCCCTGTGGCGGTAGTGGTGGTGGTAATAGAGGCAACTTCCGGGGTTATGGTCGTGATAACGGTCGACACGGCGGCCACGGAGGGCAGACCTACGGCGGTGGCCGGGATTCACTACCACCAAGCGGTGGTGGCAGGCATAATTATAGCGGCGGGACCGGCGGTGGTGGTCCGCGGGACAACTTTGGAAATCGCGATTTTGGTCCGCCGCCGTTCTACAATCCAAATTTTGAGCACTGTGGCGGACCACCCATGTTTGGTGCCCACGCGCCACCGCCGCCGTTCCGTAACCGCAATCCTCAGCATTTCCGCAACGAACGGATGCGTTTTCCGCCGCCACCACCACCCAGCGAACGACCGTTTAATTTTACGGACGGCAATAGCGGCTTCGATCAGAGGCCGCCGTTTCCGCACGTGACGGATCGATTCTCTAGACCTCCTCGGCTACCCCCGTTAGGCATACCGCCTCCTGGTGCTCCGTCCGTTGCACCACCAAACGCACCGGAAACAATAAATATGCAGCAGTCGGTACACATGCACAACAATCTGCCTCCGGTCAACCTGCCGGAAGATATGACGCGAAACTATCAGCTACCATCTGAGCAGAATGATCGCATTGTGATGCCGGATCCCATGTCCGGATCACCTGTAATTGCGTCACCCATGGCTGTATCACCTGCTGCACGACAAGACAACGATGATTGCGATATTTATTGCGACATTGAACCACTAGCCAAGTCTGATTGCGATACACAGGAAGAGCTTCACAATAATAGCTCGATGATTTTGTTGCCACCGCCAGAACCGCCGTCTGGTTTGCTGAATTTTGAAGAAAACTCTAGAAGCGACAAGGACGACAGTGAGCAGGAACTGGTGATTGACGATAGTCATAAGGAGGAAACGCCAAGAGATCTGCCGATAAGCGGCGACAAATATGATCCGTTTGCAGCCGATAGTGATAGCAATGACGATGTAGCTACTCCATTGAAAACGTTGGAAAAGACAGACATGTTGCGAAACAGGATAGACAGTTGTAATATACCTATGCCAAGTGCGCCGCCGTTGGTCTCTGCGACTTATCCTTCGTTGCCAACTGCCGCGACGACGACTCAAAGCAGAGAACATGCACAGGAATCCATTCGGTTGACTGCGTACGATGATGATGATGATAATGACTCACAGTCGGACTGCCCAAATTTTTCCATCTACTCGTCGCAGACTATGGACGTGGCTAGACATACAGAACAGGAATTGTCACAGCAGCTGGGATCACTACAGCCGCCGCCGTTACCGCCCAACATCCCTGATGATGATGATATTATTGTGGGAGACATTCAAGCCTGCGATCTACCGGATTTGCCTCCTGAGCCGGCCGATCCTTATCTCGAGGCGTTGCAGAAGGAGCGTCAAACCTTAAGTAAGATACCGCCGAAGAAGATTTCGCATGACTCGCATCGTGGTAAGATTACCTTCAAAATCGGTAACAAAATTAGACTTAATAATCGGCTGAGTGGCCTGCAGTTGGACGATAATTCGCAGAACAGTGTTCTTCAGAAAAAAACTACGATGGCGTCATCGAGTGACAAACAGCAACAAGAGCAAGATAGCAATAAAGATGTCAGTTCGTCAAAATCAGAGATTGAATCCACAGTCGTACAATCGTCGATAGCGTTGGACCAGTTTATTAAAATAGGACCACAAATTGCTGAAGAAGAAGAAGAAGAAGAAGAGGAAAAAGAAGAAGATACGGAGTTGGAGCCCGTTTCAGAGAGTCCGAAAAAGAAAGAGTCATTTAAACTTGATAGTCAACGCGGAAGCAAAGAATTCCGTTCCGAGAACTCGTCGGATGAAGAAGCTACAATAGTTGATGAGAGACTGAAACATGTCGATGCTTCATCCAATAAGAAGGAAGAGGAAGACAATGAACAAGAAGTGCAATCGGCGGCGGCAAATACCACACCACAAGAGACCATAGCGGTCACGGAAAGCGCAATGTCATCGCCCACTCTTGACATGGCTCGGTTATCACCAAGAAAATTCGACAGCAGCGAGCTGAGTATTGAATGCAGTTCAGAAGACTTGGAAGGTGGTGACACGACAAACAAAACCATGTTATCTCGTTCAAATACCGAGATGCAAGGTGAGATGACTGCAGACGACTCGCAAGAGCGAGAGTCGAGCAGTGATGACGAGCGTTCATCGAGCAGCCATAAACTTGCCAAAGCGAATGATAATAAGGACGACAAGGACGATGATAAAGCGTCGAGCGACAATGAGGATCCAAATTTATCGGATCAACGACACGAGAAGGAAAGTTTCTCGACGGTAGATGATGAAGTAGAGCAATTCCCGATCGAGAAGGACAAGATAAACGAGCCACCTGTACCTACCACTTTCGATAACAATTGGGACTCGGATGGCGCTTACACACCTTGCAAAGACGAATTGCCCTTGAGGGATGAGAATACGCCGGTGGAGCGATGTATGCCGTTCGAGGCCGGCTTGGAGCCTATCACACCGACGAAGGACAAAACAAATGACGATCTGGATGACTGCAGATCACTGACTGGTTACGCTGAGCTGGGCACTGAGGCTATCTCCGAAACTGACGACGCGATAAATTTCGAGGAGGAATTGATCGCCTTGGCATTACGTAAAGAGAGAGAGAAAGAGATGGAGGATGGCGAGATATTAGATGAGAGTAAACTGGAGACGAAGGAGCGTGAAAAATTCAGAGAGGATAAAGAAGACGGTAAAAAGAAGAGGAAAAAGGACAAAAAGGAAAAGAGCAAGGAGAGCACGGAGAAAAACAAAGAGAACATTTCATCAGATAATCTGGTCTCTTGGAAGAAACTTTCAAAAAATACAAAGGACAGGCCATACCGCGATAAGGATAAACGGTCTAAGTCGAAGGAGAGGGAAAGAGAAAAGGACAAGTCTTCTAAGAAAAAGACAAAGGAAATTAGTAAAAAGAAGGAGAAGAGAAAAGAATTGCCGCGATATGATGTAAGAAAGATCGTGGCTGAGAAACCGTCACGACCGAGAAAGGATGAGTATGGCAGGGACATCAGGGAGAAGTCACGAAGCAGATCGAGAAGTCGTTCGTCGAACAGAATTCAATTGAGAGTCTCAAAGGATCGACGAAGTCAATCGTATTTGAAGGGACGATCGAAGAGTAGGTCCCGTCTCCGATTATCCTGGTCAAGAGATCGTGGCCAATCGTATTCCAAATCATGCCGTTCCAATTCACGCAAAAGATCGTCGTCTCATATCAGACGCAAGTCGCGAAGGCGATCTCTATCGAGACGGTATTCCATATCGCGTAGAAGATCGCGTTCGCTGTCTCGCAAGCGGCGATCGTTGTCGCCTAGACGACGTAGGCGATCACTGTCGAGATCGCGCGATAAGCGGAAAGAGAAGACGAAGAAGTACAAGTCGCGCAGTCGCTCTAGGAACCGTAAGAGATCACGCAGCAAGTCGCCGAAGAGGACGTCCAAGGCACGCGAGAAGAAGCACGGCAAGAGGAAGGCGCACAGTCGGTCGCGGTCGAAGGCCAGATCAATCTCGCGAGAGCGGGATCGTAACAGGAACTGGGAACAGCTGAATGAGAGAAAGAGTGTGGAGCAGGAGCAGCAGTTTCCACGCGAGCGTGAAGAGCGCGAGCGTTCGTGGAGCGCGCAGTGGACGCCTTCCTGGTCGCGTTCGAGATCGAAGACACCACCGCATATCCAGCAGGAGCCAATCGGGGCGCGAAATTGGTCACCACCATCTGTACTGGATAACGTGTCGCCAAAGAATCTGACTGTCATATTAACGAACAAGGAAGCGATAAAGAAGAAGAAGAAGGAACGGCGGAAAGAGAGTCGGAAGTCCAAGGAGGCGGAGAAACGGCGAAAGAACAAACGCAACAGGACTCCACCGCCGTCGAAAGAAGTATTTGCTAGCGGTGACAATATACTGGTTAGCGTATGCTTCAACAAAGACAACGAGACGAATCCGTTGTCCTTACCGTTAGAGTTACCAACTACTATTCCATTGTCACCTCCAATAAAACGTCGTCGAAGAGAGTCCGTTCAGACGGAGACTACGCCTTCCACGAAACGATCCAAGAAAGATAAGACGAAAGATAAGCGATCGAAGTCACCGAAGGCGAAGAAGGATAAGAAGAAGAAATCCAAGGCGGCAGAGATCGCAGCGACGAAGAAACCCGTGGCCGTGATCGATCTGGATCAATCGCCGTTCCGCGAACAAACGCCATCGCCTCGCGACGTTATAGTACTGAGCGACGATGATGACAAGCAGGTACAGGAAACGCTTGCTGCATCGCCGGAACAATGCCCACCGTCGCAGGCATCACCACCGCGTGAGCAGTTTATCTCGCAAGGTCCTAAAACGCCGCCGGAGCCGCAGATCAAATTCTCCATAAACAAGCAGCCCAGCAATCTTAGACCGTCCCTGATAAATCCGCTATTGGAAGAGGAAGAAGAAGAGGAAGAGGAGGAGGAAGAAGAAGAGATGATGGACGAGCGAGCCGAAGAGGAGCTAGAGATGCGAGCGCAAGAGGAATTGGAGCTGCGTCTCAAGATCGGCCCCAACACACCTCCTGAGCCACCAACATCTCCGCCAACTTCTCCGGACGCTTACGATCCCTTTGACCCAACTAAATCTCGTTCACCAACGCCGGACGCCAGCCAAGAAGCAACGCCAAACGACGAGCATGACCGAGCGCAGCGCAACTCGCCAAGGAAGCACGATGGAGCTGCGGACACTCCGTTGCCATTGGACGAGCCCAGTCAACAGCAAGAACAACCTCCTCAGGAGAAGCCAATAGAGAAGCCAAAGATAATATCGATAGTGACTATCAAGAGACCATCACCTCAGAGAGATGTTTCCGCGTCTCCAGTGCCAGAGAGCCAGACTGACGTAACCCAATCATGCAGCAATAGTCCGCCCAAGACCCAGCAGAACCCGCAAAATGTGCAATCAACTGTCAATCCGTTTAGTACTATCAATCCTGTCTTAGCGACGGTAGCGGCCGCAGTGCAGAGAAGCTTCAATACTAGCAACACGTCTAATCCCGCACAAAGAACTCTGTTGCAGGTATTCGATTTGTTTTTGTTTTATTTAAATGTTAATTTTAATCAATTCATTCTAAGTATTATGAATTGCTAAATCAAATCGTTTGGTACTTGGTTTTTTTGCAGCCTAATCGCATCTCGCCGAGCAATCAGATAAAGCAACGCACAAACGACAGACCGCAGCTTCCTAATGTGTTTGCAAATTCTGCGAAGTCATCCACTTTGCCGCGATCTTCCAAATCCACTCAGAATAAAAACAGCTCGACGGTAGGGCAGAACGGAAACGATGCGACCATAGATATGACGAACGACAATATCATCGACATGTCGTCCCCTTATTCACCGGGATCGACCCTGAGTGATAGCCTGTTCGATCCACCTAGTCCTGTCAACTTTAATAACTCACCCGTTGCAAATGCACCACCACCTGCCGCTGTTAAAACCAGCGGCACACCGAAGACCAACAAGAGTGCGGAGAAGAAAGATCCGTTCGACGCGTTATTCGGTGGAATACTGCCTCCAATTAAGACTGTAACCAAAAACAGAATTAAAAAGGTTACTAAGGAAAAGGCGAAGAAGTGTACGTACTTTAATTTTCGTTTTTTTTTTATTGAGACGATACAAAGAGATCCGAGTCTTATTTGTAGTAATTATTGTATATATGAACAATATAACAGATATAAAATTACTATAAAATTAAAAGTTTCATTTTTTTTAAAAGTTTTATCATATTTTATCACGAATATATTTCAGTAATTATGTAAATGATGTATTTTATAGCTACCAATCCTAAGGTTGGCGTACGCATGGACGAGAATCAGCTTCAAATTCTGGACGATCTTCCTAGCTCTGCCGTAGAAATGCAAGTTAAAGATAAGGTATGTCAACGACGTTAATGTAATTTATAAAATTACATATAATATATAATAAAATGTTGTAAAATTTTTTATCTGTGTTGTTGCAGTTTCTTAAAAAACTAAACCGACAAGAGAGAGTCGTAGAAGAAGTGAAATTGGTTCTCAAACCCCATTATACCAAAAAGCACATCACAAAAGAGGAATACAAAGACATCATGCGCAAAGCAGTACCTAAGGTGAATATTATTTAAATTTTTTATTAATTAAAAGTAATATTGAATAAACATAATCCAAGTAATAAGAATACACATAATAATACAAGTAATACACATAATAAAATATCCTACAATCTCAATTACAGATATGCCATAATAAGACAGGTGAAATTAATCCTAAAAAGATAGCCCATCTAATAGAAGCGTACGTAAAGAAATGTCGAAATAACAAGAAGAAGACTTCTGGTAAATTAACGAAACCTACGTAAGTGCAATTTAAATACAATTGCATTATGCAGCTTTTATATTAATAAAATGAAGTTTAGAACGCGCTTAATTAATACACACATCAATACACACACATACACACACACATACACACACACACACACGTATTACAAACGAAATTAATGACTACATTTACACGGCATCCTTAATCAGGTTTAATAACATCCGTTATGAAACTGGCCAATCACAGTCGCGTTCCATTCTTCCGAAAAACTGCTGTGATTGGCTAATTTCATAACTACGGATGTTATGATTAAGCGTGCCGTGTAAATATAGTCAATGCTTCTCTCATTTTCATGCAACTGTGTTTAATGAAATTTACAGGAAAACTCTATGGAGTTGATCACGTGTTGGCAATCCTAGCGCATTAGAAAGTTCTTCAACGTTAGGCCTTTCCTTAGACCACGCGTAAAACACATTCTCTCTTCTGGATGGTAAGTGAATTAGAAATATGCATATACATATGTATTTATATACATATGCATATATCTATACTATGTATATGCATGCATCTTTGCATACACATCTATTGATGAGCGAAATATGTATTGTGTGTACATACTTAATTCATTAATTGTATAAGCGTAATATTTTTATTTATCTAATTGTTTAAATACGAAAGAATAAGAGTTCGTGATTATTATTATTCACAAATATTAACGTATAGGTACGAACGATTGCACGTATTCGCGAAGGCACTCGATGATGTACAGCCTCTGTCCGAATATACAGCTGTACATTGCGATGCCTTTTAAAATTCGGTTCGGATCACGATCAACGATCCTCCGCTAAACTAACTAGGAAATATTATTGTACGATAAGGTTATAATTTAGAGTGTGATTGCGTAATTCAAAAAAGTGAAATGAATAACGAAAGAACGCTCAAGTAATTTGAATCGCTATTTATGAAAGAGGAAACAGATGGCCAGGTGTATTTTCCCAACAACTTGCAGTGTAAAAAAATTAATAGATCCTTAAATCAAGATAGATTCTTAAACCTTTATATAAGCGAAAAATGGCCTGCTGAGATCTTTTACCAACGAGTATGTTTCCGAGAGTACAAGATATGTGCGGCACCTTGTTTCACTTTATTCATATTATGTAAACAGAAGATAAAATGGCACACAAGTAAAACACATTTCTGATCAGCGACTTCAAATGTAGATAAATCATGTATAAAAATGCCGGATGTTGTCCCTGTATGTAAAATCGATATAAGTTGCGTTTTACTATGCTTATATGATTCCGTACGCCCGAATATGTAAAAGAGACTTTAAGACGTCAATTTTTAACAGCCTGTTCCGCTTTTCAGAAAAAAAAAATAGTACTGTCTTATAGATACTGTAACCCGTATTCATGTCTCGCCTTTAGCAGTAAACGCGGCTCGTGTGTCATAGTTCACATGATACGCCTTCGTTATTTACATGTATATACATACATATATGAT